TATGCACAAATTTCATTGCTATTCACTGCTATTTCATGTTAGCCATTGCATTAACTAATGTTACCTATAGAATCATATTACAAGTTTTTGCAAATAACTTGAGCAATGATGCAAGCACCATTTTATATTTATTGTCTCCAGTTTTTAAGAATCCAGTCAATAAATCCACTTCATCAAGCAGGCTTTTACAAACTACATATCTGCAAAAAGCCAGGCATTTTAAATGAATTGTACGAATAACAGTGGCACAGAGACATGCTGTTTCGTGTGAAACTACAGCAATGAACCGCTGTCGTCAGTCCTATCCCAGCCATTAACCACCAACTGGAGCCAACTTGAACAAAACCGAATAGAGATCATTTCCGATATGTTTGAAGTTTTAAAATGACGGAGCGGAGTCGGCCCCTTATACGACGAGGAACCGGTGAGTACAGATGAAAGCGGTTCCCTTCATATCCATAATTAGAACACACAACACAAAAGAGAAGCAGAACAAGCACCCGGCCTGATGAGCAGCCAGCAAGTGGAGGATGCAATTTGTGCGAGTCCTCTCTGTAATCAGGGGTCACTCAATGTGGAGGAGCCTTCTTCTCGGATCCTACTGAAATACGGAAAATTACAGTTCAGAGGGGACGACTGTAACCATGGCAATTTAACCCCCCTGCGTTCCCCCATCTCCTCGGCTGCTAACTTGCTGCTGACAGCTTGAATGCTCGGCTGTGATTCCAGCCAGAGGATTAACTTCCACATTTGGATTGCTGACAGTGGATTTTGCATGTAGGAGTTTGCATACAGAAATGCAAAGGTCTTTAGGGAAACACAAACATGAAAAAAGATAATTCCTTCTACTGCAGCTGAGACACTTGCTTAAAGCTTTGCAAAGGAAGAAAATAGCTTTTGTCATTTGTGGTAACTGTGTTATTAACTTATACATTTTTATTTTATTTTATTTATTTGGCTCCAGTTGCTCCAGATAGTATTTGAACACGACACTCGATATATCATATCTGGCTGGAGATTTGATTGATTTGATAAAATTCTTAAAGCAAGTGACATTTGTAAACAAATAATTCTAGAGCTATTCTCTGATATGCAACCTTTTTTATTATTTTATTAAAAAATGTGTGGTTACACTTTACTTGAAGGGGTGTGCATAAGACTGACATGACACCTTCATAATCATGACATGACACCTACATAATCATGACATGACACATGTCATGAATATGAAGGTTTTTTATGCATGTTTATGACAACTGTCATTGAGTGTCATTCGCTCAGTTATGTAATTTTTAATGCAAAGATGACATTGTCTGAGATGGTGTTTTAAACGAATAGAAAATTGCAAATGCTAAAACAATAAATATATTGTTTGAAATAATAAAAAAAGGTTAAATCTATTATATTTTAATTCCAGAATTCAGATGTTTTCAGACATATGTGGAAGACTGTGTGATGTCACCTTTTTATGTATGTGTGCATGTTTATTATTATTATGTGTTAATTAATTAATTATTTTTTTATTTATATATTTATTATTATAATTTTTTTTTTTATATATATATTTTTTTTTTACAAAGACTGACCCAGAAAGTCATGGTATTGTCTTCTGAGATTAGGTTACAGGACTATGTGGGACATGTTAACTAACCCTCCTCAGCCCCACACCTTGAGACCGAGGTAAAGTTTCACACCAGGTAAACATGACTTAACCTCTTCAGATAAGTCTAATATACAGAACACAATCCAAGGTCCGATTCAGCTGCGCAAAAGCATAAAATAAAAGCCTTGTTTACGATCTGTTTCCCCAGGGTAACTGTATTGATAATGTGATTCAAAAAAGATATTATACAATACTAACTGACATTTGATCATGTGCTTTCCTCCAAGTCAACAAAAGGTCTCAGAAATGTCTATTTGCACTGTGATCATCCGAGAATAAAAATAAGTGGCGGAGATGTTCTGATGTCAGTGTCAATATTCTGCTGAGCACATGTTGAGCTCCATAGCTTCAAAGAGCTACAATGTTTATAAATGTCTGAGATCGAAAGCACATTTAAAGAACACAAGAACAAAACCTATCACTGAGAAAATTCCTTCCAAACCTGTACATCTGAAGTTTTCATACAACACAATTTTGAAAACCAACTGCAAATAATTCGCTCCTCACAAAAAGTAGTGGTTTATTACTGAAATGGGTTGTTTAGTAAACTTGGACTGACATCTTAAGAGCAGAGTAGTTTAATGATAGCCCAAAACATTTCATTTGACTTCCCTTAAAGGCAGGGTATGTGATTTTTCAAAAACACTTTAGAAAACTGATTCGGGCCGAATAGCAAAACAAACTTGTAGCCAATCAGCAATAAGGGGCGTGTCTACTCGTGATGTGGAGGAGAGAGCTTTCAGAGCATGGGACGGACATTAGCCGAGCCGAGCAACAGTAAGATAGAGATGGCGGATAAAAACGTCTGCGGAACGATAAGGCAAGAAGTAGGACCCGTGTAAATAATATAAGGGGGTCAACCCCCAAATCCCAACAAATATACTCCCTCCACCACCTATGTTTAAATATATACCACAATAATAACTACCATAAAAACCATAAAATTCCATGAACCATAAAATTAAATTTTTTTAAATTAAAGTTCCTTGAAGTCCCATGTAATTATCATGGTATTGTATGTGCAAAAGGTTATCATGGTATATAGCATAGCACTATGGTATTACCATCAAATGTCATATATGTATCATTGTACTTTGAGGGAATTATGAAAATCCAACAGTAAGCTTTAATCAAAAAAAAAAAAAAAAAAAATGCTTTGGGGG